AAAAACACTGCTGTCCATAATATGTGTGTCTTGTATCTGAGCTGATGTATGCTGATGTATTTCAAAGAGTTCCTGGCACTGCATGGTGTAACAGCACGCACCATACAAAGTACACATGTGTGTCAGAGCGAGGGCTACAGTAAAGTCCCACAAATACAACATAAGCACATGAGCAAACACTACTGGAAATGCCTGGATTTGTCACACAACTATTTTTAATTTTTACTTGATTTTTGGTCATTGCATTTTTTTTTTTTTTTTTTTTTTGGTTTTTTCAAGACAGGGTTTTTCTGTGTAGCTTTGGAGCCTGTCCTGGAACTAGCACTGTAGACCAGTCTGAACAGTCTGAACTTGAACTCACAGAGATCCACCTGCCTCTGCTTCCCAAGTGCTGGGATTAAAGGCATGCACCACCAATTCCCAGCTTCATCGCATATTCTTAAGACTTTTGCTATTATCAGATATTGTTGACCCCACACCCAATTACATGATCCCATGTAGAGTTGTAACCCATAGTTTAAAAAGCACTATTGTGTAGTGTTTATAAAACCTAACAGCACCAGTGCATGAAGGTGATAATAACTACACTTAATTCCCACCGTTGGGATTTAAATGTGTATTTTCCCCAGGCCAATGTGGTAGCAATTAAGACATAACTACCACAAATAGTAATATTTCATTACTTTTAGAGCTTACCTTTCACCTGAATGATATTTTATGAACAATGGAGAGATACATGGATGGATGGATAGATGGATGGATGGATGGATGGATGGATGGATGGATGGATGGATGGATAGATGGCGACTAAGCAGGCAGATTGAAAGATACAAAAATTGTAACCAGTAGCTAATCAAGGTAATAGATTATAAAAAGGGGCTTTGCATTCAAAAACTGCCATGTTAGGGTAAACTCTCATTCTGAATGAATGCCCTACATTCTGGAACTTTTGCATGTTAATGTCTTTTATGCAAGTCCCTGTTTTGGAAATAAGCATGGCTGCAGAAAGGTGTATAACCAAAGGCTATTAGACTTTTACAGGGTCAGTCTGAATTGATAATTGATTATTGCAAATATACAAGCTCAAGCATACCCTCGAAGGGCTGTTTTTAATGTACTTCCATTTGATGTTCCCCATGTCCATTCCTGCTTTTAATCTGTCTCAAAGATGTTGATCTTGCAGGTATGTAATCACAGTCAAGATTTAGGGATGTGTCTCTGCTATACTAAGGACAGTTCAGCTTTCTCTGCATATGGCAAAGAAGACCATAAAAATAACAATCTACTTCCACTTCCATTTTACTCTCTTGATTCATATTAGTCTCCTGACCTTTTGCCCATTATATCTTTGTGACATTCACATAAATACAAACCTAATGATAAAAAGCAGATAGATATATGCCATGTCGTTATTATGAAAATGGTTTGGATTTTATGTACTCTAAAAGAACTTTTGGCCAAATGAATTAGAAATTGATAAGGAACAGTGTGTGGCTTCTGAAACAACATGTATGAAGTAGTTTGTATTGCTTTCACATACCAGAATCTCAGTTTTTAAATGACAGTGCTTACTATTGGCAGAACACAAATTGTCATGCAGTTAACAGCAAAGCAGTTAATCAAAGTCTCTTCAAGTGTTGATAACAACATTAAAATAAACCATTAAAAACTCATAGGCACAATCACTAAAACGTGGAAGTAATCCAAATACACATCAACGTTAAATAGATATGAAATGAATGAAATGTAATAGTACAGATGAAACACTGATATGTGCTGCAATACAAAAGAGTCTCAGAAACATCGGTCTACAACAGAGAGAAGATAGTCCTAAAGTGCTGCATGTTTCTGCTTGGGAAATAGGGAGAGCAGGTAGAACCCCATTGTGGTAGGAAGTAGGGTGGTAGTTGCCTAGTGTAGAGCAGGATTATTGAGCATAGCAGAGTATGATGGTACATAGGAGGTTCTCTTTGGAAGGATGAAAAAATTCTTAAGTTCTAGTAAGTTGTGTGCTTTAAAAGGAGAAATGGTATGCTATGGGAATTCTGTGTTACTAAAGCTAGTGAATGTGGTCCAATGTTGGTGAAGGCACGATAATGGAACTTTTAAATAGCACTGGTGGAAATGTAAACCAGTGCAGTCATTTGAACCCAGTATGAATAATCTTCAAAAAAACTAAAACAAGCACTGCCATATAACTCACTCATGGGTTACAACCAGAAGGAATCTAAGGCAGCATAAAATAGAGATGCCTGTGAGGACCTACATCACAGCACTTTCACAATAGACCCATTATAGAGGTGGCATAGGAGGCCATCAATGTAAGCACAGAGGATAAAGCATGATGCATATAGATAATGGTACATTTCCAGCCATTGAGCAATAATGAAACCAATGCAATTATTCTAGGATATGATTGGAACTGAAGGTTATCATGTTAAGCAAAATTGGCTACCATCAGAGTGGGAAAGATGGCTCAGTCGGTAGAATGCCCACATAAGGGATCTTAGGTTGTAATCCCAGCACATACATAAAGGACAAGGTGCAGCAGGGCTCATTTGCTAGCCTAAGGCTGCAGAAGCAGAGCTGAGAGGTCATTCATGCAGCTCACTGGTCAGGCAGTGTAGGTGAATCAGTAAGTTGTAGGTTCAGTGAGTGCCTTGGCCTCAAAATAATGATTTTTTAAAAAGATGGGCAGTAATAGAAGATACCCAATATCAACCTTGCAAACACACACACACACACACACACACACATATCAGTCTTAGAAACATAACCTCTCATATATAAAATTTAAGAAATAAAAGCAAATTTAACAAAAACACAAAAATCATTTAGATAGATAGAAGGGTGTCTATAGAAATTGGTAGGGTACTTGTGATGACAAGGAAAGCCAGTGATACACATAAATAATAGGACAGCAATTGGCAACAAAATGCCTTGTATATGTGCATGTAAAGGCCACAGTGAAGCTCATTATTTTTTTTTTACAGTTTGTATTTGCTAATAAAAAGATACATACTTTTTAAATAGTAATTTTGTTCTTCGTGGCATCCTCAGGATAGACTGGAAGTTGCATTTCCCATGGCCATGTATATCTCTTATCTTTTATGTAAATAGGCATTTAGAATAATAATGTATCTTTCAGAAAACAGAATTTCCTAATTCCTTGTAGTTATAAAATTTCATATAATAAAAACAAAGATTCATTACCTATTAGCAATTATTAAAACAATCCAGGAGGAGGTGGCTATGTATTTCATAAGTGAGTCTCACGTAAACTCTGGGTTAGATCACTACACTTGTACAAAAAGAGAAAGAGGCTTCTATTTCCTCATGGTCCATGAACTCTTCCTACTGTTTAGTGGTTCTGCTGGACAATGACTATGATCTGGGGGAGCTTTACTTTATGAGAAAGAAGGATTACCTTTAAAGTGTAGTGTAATCCTTTTCAGAAAAATAGAATTTATGTTTTCAATTCTCAAGTTTTGAGATTCCTAATAGAAGAGAGGTAGATAGAGCACATGATAGAAGAGGCCGATTTCCATCTAACAGTGGGCCATCTATGAAGATGGATTGGGAACATAAAGGGCTAATAACACCAAAGGTTTTCTTTGCCAGGTTATCTTTTGTACATTAACTATACAGAAGAGCCTACTTTAATAGACACACTTGCTGTGAGGATGCTACTTTAAAGAAAAGCTTCCTTTCTCTACTCTGCACTTGGAGATATAACCCAAGAGCTATTGGAGATATAAGATGATATGATAAGGCCAAGTGTGTACCATTGATATGTAAGCTTATTCTTCTAAATAACCAGTGGAACAGAATTAGGGAGGAGGCAGTGTCACTGTGAGAGATGCAGTAGGTTTGTGCCTAAGCCTGTGGTTTTTATCAAATATTTATAACAAACAGTTTGCAACACAGAAAAAAATTAAATACCCTTATGTGTGTTTCTATTATACAAGATAATACAGGCTTAATGTCTTAATGTGTGTGTGTGTGTGTGTGTGTGTGCCTGTGTGCATGCTTTAAATACCTTACATAAGTTAACTTGGCCTGGTATATAAAAATGACTTGAATCTTTTATGTTTCTCTGTAACTCATTGAAGACAACGGTCTCCAAACAATAAGTTTATATGCATTATTTTCATTTGTATTTGCATCTCATCAGACTACAACCTGCATTTAACTTTGCCTGTACTTGCATTTTGCACAGAATACTGTTGAGCTGCTTTCATTCTTTTGTAAATTATGCATTGTGTTTTTACTCAAGGTGAGAGGATAAGATGTTATGTGTTAATTGTTACATAACACTACCCTGCCTGGCTTCCTGTTCACCTTGTGATATTTAGTATAATTCTTCTAGCCAAGAGCTAAAATACCTTCTTTCCAGTCAACTTCTTTTTCTTTTATATCTGCCCAGTGTATTTAAAAACAAAATCTAGTTATTTTCTGTTTACTTGTGTTTTTCTATTTTGTCTGCAGCTTTCCTACATAATATATATATATATATATATTACTTTGTTTTTCTTGAATGGCCTAGCCTGATTGGCATTTTTCACAGTATTTCTAGTTACCACAGGAGTTTCTCCCAGTCACAGGTTTTGCTGCTCTCCTGCCTACTTGTTCAGCCCCAGCAGAGCTTATAAATATGGAATGCCCTTTGTGTGCTCTCTGCAGTCTTTTCTCTCACACCATTTTTACTTCAGTTTGTTCTTGTTTAAAAAAAAAAATAAAAGTCTGACATAATTTCCTCTGGAGGTTGACTTGGCTGGCTGCCCTCTATTTTTGTATAGTTCATCAGCCCTAGTTACCTTTATTCCTCCTTTAAATGTCAGAACAGGGGCCTTGTATTTTGCTAGGAAGACAAGCAATGGTCAGCAGAATTGATGCATATCTTCAAAAGACCCCTGCAATAAACCCATGGTTTAATTTACTACACATACGCATGGATATTGTATAATATCAGGCAGCTAACACGTATAATTCTCTCACAGAAGCATGATGGCCACTTCACTGTCATCCAGTTGGTCGGCATGCTGCGGGGCATCGCATCAGGCATGAAGTATCTTTCTGACATGGGATATGTCCATCGGGACCTAGCGGCCAGGAACATACTGGTGAACAGCAACTTAGTGTGCAAAGTCTCTGATTTCGGTCTCTCCCGAGTACTGGAAGATGATCCGGAAGCAGCTTACACAACAACTGTGAGTTCCATGCCCTGTTCCATCTCCCATGTTTACTTTTAGTTCCTTGACGCTGTTAGAGTAATCGTTCGTGTTTCCTCAGTGTTGTGTTTTCACGTTTTATTTTTTTTCTAACTATTGTATTACTTGGTTAGAAGGGTCTGTTATATTTGAAAGCTCAGAGGGCTGTAATTGCTGCTGTTTTTTTGATTTTTTGTTTGTTTGTTTGGTTGGTTTTGGTTTTGGTTTTTTTTGTTTGTTTGTTTTTTGTTTTTTGTTTGTTTGTTTGTTTGCTGTTGCTATTAATAAAAAGGGAAAGAAAAAAAACTTCTTAAATTTTATCTTTGGGCTTCTGGTGTGCTGGGACTTCACCACCCTGATAGAGACATGTCACATGACTGCCTTCGGAATAAACCTGCCCTTGCCAGAGATGTTTCAGCTGTTTAGTAGATATTCTTCTTTAAATAGGCTTCTTTATAGATCATAAACATTGCCTTTGATACTCGAAGGGTGCTAAGGAACCAGTGATCAGGAAATGTCTCCTTTCTAGGTGTTATCAGATGATCCAGACCCAGTTGTAAATGAGTGGCCTAAGTTTGTTTGGAGACATATAAAGACTCCCCTAAGACATTTTCAAACTGTAACCGGGGGATCAGCCACAAAAGAATAACTATCTAAAACAAAACTATCATCTTAAATTACATAATGTCAAATTCACCATGAATACCTTAAATACTTCTGAGTGGTCCAAGTCAATTCACTGTATTCATCTCCTTGGACACTGTTTTGAAGAATTTAGTGTTAACATCTCTATTGAGGTATGTTAAAGCTGTTGATTTTTAGTTGACTGCCATCATTTCTTTATTAATATTCTCACCAATGATTCATTTGAGATTTAAATCAGCTTCAGAAAAAGCAAGTCGATGAAATTATTCAAAACATATTGATTCCTTTTCCCTCTTTTAACCTTGCAAATAATTTTTAAATGGTACTCCATTAATTAATTCATATGCTATTAAAATTTTTGAAGTTTCACTATATTCAATCAGTCTGAAGATAGATGGAAGTTTGACATCATTAATAAAAAATCTGTATGTCCTTACTATTTTTGTTGGAATGTCCTATAATAATTTATCAACATTTTCACAATTTCAATATAAAATAGAACTCTCAAGAAAATAAATTATTCTCTATGTCTGATATATAATGCATAGGTATTCATTGATCTTTTAGCTTAACCAAAAACTTTATAAAAATAAAAGTTCATAGAATCTGAAAACACATTAATCATTTTAGAGAAAAGTTAGTATTTTAATCTTCACCTTCTATTTAGAAAATATTATAGCTATTTTATTTTTACTTTTCTAAAGGCTTTTATTTTTTCTTTACTTTTTTTTTTTTTTTTTTTTTTTTTTTTTTTGCTTTTACATCCCAACCAAAGTTTTTACTCCCTCCCTTCCTCCCAATGCCTCCCCATCTGCTCTCTACTCCCCCGATCTCTACCATTGACTCCTCCTCCACTGTTTCTATTCAAATAGACTGGCCTTCCATGGGTATCAGGCAGCCAAGGTCTATCAAGTTGCAGTGGGCCTAGACTACTCCTCTTCTATGAAGACTGGAGAAGCCAATCCCATAGGAGGATTGGGCCCCCAAAACAGGAGTTAGAGTCAGAAACAGCTCCTGCTCTCACACAAAAACCAAATTACACAACTGTAACATATATGCAAAGGACCAAGGCCAGTCCAAGGCAGGCTCCCTGGTTTTCGGTTCAGTCTCTGTGAGCCTCCATGAGCCCAGATTAGTTTGTTCTCTGGGTTTTCCTGTGGTGACCTTGCCCCTTCTAGCTCCTACAATCCCCCCACCACTTCCATTGGATTCTCCAAGCTCTGCCTAATGTTTGGCTGTGGGTCTCTGCATCTGTTTCCATCAGTTGCTGGGTGAAACCTCTCTGATGACAGTTGGACTAGGCACCAATATATCAGAATAGCAGAATATCATTAGGAATCATTTCAACTAATTTTTTTAACCAGTCATGTGTGCATCTATCATAGGTCTCTGGGGTATCTATCCTGCCTTTGGGTCCTGACCCTCAGGATGAGCTCCCTTTCATGGTATGGAACCCCATCTGTGCCCATCATTAGTGGTCTCTCCCACATTTTCTGTGGCATCTTTACTCCAGCATATTTTTTGGTTGAAAGGTATATGGTTGTATTGGTGTCCCAATCCCTCCTGCGAAAGTCTTGCCTGATTATGGGAGATGTCCAGTTCAGGCTCCAATCCCCTATTGCTAGAAATCTTAGCTAGGGTCACCCTTAATAGATTCCTGTAAGTTGTCATTGTTCTCGATTTATTCTACCTCACTCCAGAGATGCCCCCAGATTCCATTTGTCTCTACCAGTACTCTTTCCCTCTGTCCTCCTCCAACCTGATCCCTCCTGTTCCTATCTTCACTCCCCTTTCCAATTGCCATGTCCACTGGCAGTGTTCATCCTATTTCCCCTTCACAATGAGATTCATGCATCCCCTCCTTGAGCCCTTCTTGTTACTTAGCTTCTCTGGGTCTGTGAGTTGTAGCACGGTTCTCCTTTACTTTGCAGATAGTATCCACTTATGAGTGAGTACAAACCACGTTTGCCTTTCTGGATCTAGATTACCTCATTCAGGATGATCTTTTCTAGTTCCATTCACTTGCCAGCAAATTTCTTAGTCACTGTTTTTAAGAGCTGAGTAGTAGTTCATTGTGTAAATGTACCACATTTTCTTAATCCATTCTTAAGCTGAGGGACAGCTAGGTTGTTTCCAGGTTCTGGCTATTATGAATAAAGCTGCTGGGAACACAGTTGAGCAAGAGTCCTTTTGGTATGGTGGATTGTCCTTTGGATATATGCCCAAGAGTGTCATAGCTGGGTCTTGAGGCAGATTGATTTCCAGTTTTCTAAGAAACTGACATATTGATTTCCAAAATGGCTGTACAAGATTGTACTCCCACCAGCAATGGAGGAGTGTTCCCCTTTCTCCACATCCTCCCCAGCATAAACTGTCACTTGTGTTTTATATTTTAATTGTCACAGGTACTAAGATGGAATCTTAGTGTCATTTTAATTTGCATTCCCCTGATGGCTAAGGATGTTGAACAGTTCTTTAAGTGTTCCTCAGCCACTTGAGATTCCTCTGCTAGGAATTCTCTGTTTAGATCTCTACTCCATCTTTTTAAAATTGGGTTGTTTGTGTTCTTATGTCTAGTTTCTTGTGTTCTTTATATATTTTAGATAATAGCCCTCTGTCAGATGTAGGTTTGATGAAGAACTTTTCCCATTCTGCAGGAGCTATTTTGTCCTTTTGACAGTGTCCTTTGCTTTTCAGTTTCATGAAGTTTTATTCCATTCATTGTCAGTTTTAGTGCCTGTGTTAGTGGTGTTTTATTCAGGAAGTTGTCTCTTGTGCCAGTGCTCTCAAGGCTATTCCTCACTCTTTTCTTCTGTCAGATTCAGTGTATCTGGTTTTATGTTGAAATCTTTAATTCACTTGGACTTGAGTTTTGTGCAGAGTGATAGATACAAATCTATTTGCATTCTTCTACCTGCCAACATCCAGCTTGACACGCACCATTTGTTGAAGATGCTTTTTTATTCATTATATAATTTTGACTTCTTTGTCAAAAAATCAGGTGTCCATAGGTATATGGATTTTTATCAGTGTCTTTAATTCAATTCCATCTTTCCACCATCTGTTTTTATGCAAATACCATTCAGTTTTTAGTATTCCTCTGTATTACACCTTGAAAACAGGGATGGTGATACCTCAGAAGTTCTTTTATTGTACGTATCTCTGAAGGCATGAAGTATGAACAATGCAGTTTAAAAGGAACTACAGTAATGGCAGATGTTTCTAGTAAAGCATTTAAGACCCTGGACTAAAATACATCAAGCCTCTGCTGAGGGACTTTGGGACCTGGTAATGACAATTTAAACCAAGAAATGTGCAATGTGGGCCAAAAATAGAATGAAAAAAATTGTGAAAATAGTGTCTTGACAAGAACTAAGGTCATGCTTTCCTATGCCAATTCTGTGAAAAACATTTCAGGTTCTTAGAATAGTTAGTGATTATGACCCTGACCAAACAATGCACATGAAATTATCATTTTTGAGTAGTTGATCTAGATAGAAATTATTGACTCTTTGGTTTTTATTATTTGATAAATGGTGTCCTCTCTGGCTAAAATTTAAATGCTGAAAATTTCTCCCATTTCTAAATCTGACACATATTCACATGGACAACTGATTTATAACCAGTCCAAAAAAGGTACTCTAGCTCATTTGAATATTGCTAGGCAACCACATCTTATACTTATATTGAAAATGCTAAGCCTCTTTGCTTTCAATTATTGAGATAAGGTTCTATTTACCTTAAAAAGGAACATTAAAAGCTATATCTTGGCTCACAATCACATGATGTAGGAGATAACTGTTATTTAAAATATAATGATAGTGTCATTGTTAGTTATGATAACTTTGTTATATTTTAAAGATTAAAGCAACATGTAGGAATCGTATATAATACCTGGAAAATGCTGAGGTTTCTTGATTACTACTTTTCATGTTATCTGAAGCAAATTATTGTTTGTTCTCCTTCAACAGCAGTAATCGCATGGCAGTTCTCTCCTTATTGGAATACAGAGTGATGTAACTGACAACACATAATCTGGATGATTAGATTTCTATTACCATCTTAGTTTAGGTCAACTTGCCTTTGTATGCTCCTTTCCATGTTTTATAAGAAAAACTTGAGAAATGTCAAATCTACCAATCTAAGAAGACATGGCCTATAACCAACATGTGACTAATTATAGCTGTAATGCAATAGCTTGTGCAAGATCTGAACTCCTTGCCTAATTCAAGTGTTGATGGATTTTCTTGACTTTTTGTATTAATTTTTAAATCTGAAATTACCCTTTACAATAACAAGTATGCTTAGTGCAAGGATAAATTTATAAAATATTCTAATATCTGGGCATGATGATA